CCCTCTCATGATGTGGGCAAAGCGTCGGTCCTAAAACTGCCTTTGTGAACTCTAATGCCACAGAAGAAAAACACCAGGATTGTTGCTTTCTTCTTCTGCCTTTTTGTGGATCTGCTGTCCACGAGAGAGGCAGTAAGGGTAGTGTTTGGCCAACAGAGATCTATCAAATACAGAACAAGAAAAAGGGCTGGAAAGGGTCTTAGAAATCTCATCATCTGCTACACATCCCTGTCCCGATGCAGGAATCAATTCTGCCTAAGCCATTGCTGACTGATGTGCGCTAATCTGTTCTTAAGTGTGTTCCTCCAAAGATGGAGTCTGTGTAGCGCTCTGAGCAATCTGTTTCAGTGCTGCATGGTCCTTTCCATTAGAGAGCTTTTTCTTATGTCTAACTAGAATCTTTCTGGCTGCGGTTTAAGTTCATATCCACCATAAAACTGGAGAAGAGATTATTCTCTCCTTTAGCAACAGCTCTTTCTGTAATTGAAGACTCTTCTCATGTCTCCCCTCAATTCTCCCAAGGGAAGTAGCATGAGCCCTGTATCTTGGGAGACTTCAAATTAGATCAGGCTAAGCAGTTTAGAGTGCACTGTAGGAAGGGAAGCTGCCTCAGTAGGGATGCAGAGTACACAGTCTAGCTGCTTTTTTCCATAATGACCTCTTAGAGCCTGGCTCAGTGCTTTTATCTGTATTTAAAAACACTGCACACTTTCTTTTGAACAAGAAGGAAATGATGGAAAAATGAAATGCAGAGAAAGGAAATAAATCTTGAAGGCAGCTATTAATTTTAGGGACTGGTTTTGTAAAGCTATTTACCATCTGCCCCATATCCCCTGTACTCAGTTCTCTCGCTCTGACCTTTTTCTTAGAAACTTGCAAGTAAATCCTTCCTCAGTCCTCTCCTTCCATTTAAATCGTGATTTGGCCTTGTACTTTTGCAGCCCTTAAAAAGTTTGCTTGGAGTGGTTGTATTTTTGGTGATTCATTAGATCACATCTGCATGTGTCCTTCTTAGTTACTTACCTGAGGGCTTTTATAGCTGAAAAAAGCAGACTTAGCTGAAGAGACGAGAGCGTGCCTAGCTCTAATAAATAAAGCACATGGAGTCAATTAAAACAATGTTTAAATAATTTTCAGAAAGGAGGATGCTTGATGTTACTACATCAGAGGACCACAGTGACTTTTAAGCCAACAAACTGTGCAGGTTTACTTTCTCATTTAATCTCCAGGTCTATAAAAAAATGCATGCTTCCATAGCAGTCATCTGCCCACTCCAACAGTTAACATGATTTTGGAATTATTTTAAGTCCAAACCATGTGAAAATAAATCCTAACTCAATTTTGTGGGATTACTTTGTTTCCATTAAATTCCTCTTTAAAGCATTTCATATGCTTGGTTTTATTATTGTTACTTCCAGGAATTTCTAAATGCTTCCAAATTTGGCTTGATTAAAGTTTTCTAACTTTTCCTGGGGAAAAAAAAAAAAAAAAAAAAAAAAGAAATATGCAATTCCCTGCCTACTTTCCCAGGTATTTACAAACCAAGATGTTTATATATACATCTTAATGGATACATATACAACACACACAATGCCTGTGTGGTGGTTCTTCATAGTCATAACATGTTAGAAGGTAAATATATCAGATTTCACAAGTTAAACAAAATAGAGCTTAGCAAGTACTTAAAGATGAGGGACCTCCAAAAGAAATTGGGGCATAGCAAAGAATGGTGAAGTCATGTGGATGATTAAACAAATGGCATCCTTTCTTCCGATTCTCCGAACTAATGTGCATGTGCTTAAGGAACAGAGCAGGAGAGAGTTAAGCAGACGGTCACATCTCTGCAGGGTGTGGGGTTGGGGTTTTGACCCTTCACGGAAAACAGTGCAGTGCCATTTTTGCGTGTCATTCTGCAGCTCAGTAGTGCTCTGTGTGAGTATCGTACGCAGCTGTGTGGTGGTCGGTGTGGGGCTGCTGCCCAGACGTTTTGAAGTGACATTTTTCAGATGAGTAAACTCAAAACTTTTCTGTGATCATTCAAGGTTCTTTGGTTAACAGTGCTGTGACACCTATCTGTAGGTAGATCTAGGTATGTTTCTTTAAGTAACTATATACCTCGTCACCACTTCCACACACAGTGTTTGTTTATACCCTGAGCTTTAAATACTTGTGTTGTTTTGCATGTGTGATCCTATCTGGAATTTTCTATCCAATAATTTTTATTACAGTGATAATTGAAGTGAAATGCTTCAGTATAGCTAGCTTGTACCTTTGTGATAGACTTTGATGCTCACAAGGTCACTCTGTAAACATGTAGATTGGATAGTCCTAACCTCACTGAAGTTGACTTTTGCCACTGACCTTAGTGGAGTCAGGATCTTACCTCATAATTGAATTTCCTCAAACTGTAGCAGACACATTTTTCCTTTTCCCGCTGCTTTATGTTCAGGTGTCCCCTAAGAGGGAGATGACTGGATTTGCTTACACTTCGGTTCACCACCTTGGTACACAGTGGACTCTAGATGTATTTGGACAGTGAATTTTCTGAAACGTTTGCTGGCGTCACTTGAATCCTAGGCTCTCTGTCCAGCCTTTTGTGCGTGGGCAGGAAGAGACTGAGATCAAGTCTGTAATTGCAGTTCTAGAATATGCTTCGTTTCTGCCTTCAATCAGCCTGCCTGTCCCTCTTTTAATTATGCGATATAGTCTCTGTTTCATCATTTTGCTATGAAGAGATTTGCCACAAAGCAACCTCTGTGGCATAGGATTTGGCAGAGGCGTGCAGAATTTGGATTGTATTATCTCACAGAAAAGTTCACCGGATGCTTAATTCTTTTTCTGCCTTCCTGTGTGCAGAGGTCCCGCAATCAGTGCGGTGTAACGGTGCCCTTCTCATCATTGCACTGTGCTGCCTCAGCCTCATGCACTGGGAGGGATGAGCTGTTCACGAGCTGCCTCTTTCCTCCTCATTGCCACCACTGGGGCTTTGTGCAACGAAAACAGGCCCTGAGTTCCACAGGCAGAAACCCAAAAACTCTTTCAGGAGTGCAGAGACATCTGCACCCTCACCAGTCCCTGGGTCATCTGGACAAGGAGCTGGCAAACCCAGCCCCAAGCTGCGCTGTTGGTAGCTGTGAGGCCCTTTAGATAAGCCGCAAGAGTGTCCGTGGTGTGCTGCGCTGGTGGAAGCAGAACAAAAAAGCCCGGTGAGGCTGAGCTGCTGGACCAGCCCTCCCCTCCTCCCCTCTGCCAGGACTGGGTGAGGGCTTCTCTCTGTAGTGGTTGTTCCTGGGCTCTGTCCCCTGTGGGGCTCAGCCAGACCTTGCTGCAGTAGCAGCATTGCTAAGGGTGGAAATTTGATGAGCTTCAATAAAACACCAGTGCCTGACAGGAGCTTGGGGAAGTTTACATGTCTGCCTGTCCCATTGACCAAGAATCGTGGTGCATAGTTTTCCTTTCTCACTCCTAACCTCCTGTATGATACGTGATTTGTGAGGGACAACTGGAGTCCTGAAACTTGCTGCCTGTATGTTCAGTGAGTTATACATCAGCATCCGGCTGTAGCCACTCAGGCCATGTCTTTAGCCCAAATGCACCCACCACACTGCACTTTTGACAACAGTTTTATATTTCTAATTAACTGTATTATGTTATATTTTTATTTTTGGAGCATTTGCAGTGGTTGTCATGTTACCTACAGAAACTTGTGTGTTCATGAGCTTTGTTGTGACTGGCCCTGGGCTTGACCAGTGTGAAACAGCAGCTGGGAAGTTTAGTTTACTGTAGTCAGGATTATGGCCATTGCATGCAAAATTTCCTAGATCAGACCCTCTTTTGCTCTTTGTCTCCCTTGTCTTAAGAAAGAATCCGTTCTGAGCTTTGTCGGCAAAGAAAAACAACCAACCCCAGAGATGCAACAGATTGCCGGAGACAAGTATTACTGCTCTCTGAATATTTATTAAATTAAAAATAAAGATAAGAGAGAATGGAGCAGCATCCACCATAAAACACACTCATTAGAAGGGCATTTACAAACTCTGCCTAAAAAACCACTTTTGCATTTTCTCTGTTTTACTGATTTTGTCCTCCTCCTCTAAATATAAGCCCCAGTCGGCTCCCACCAAGCTTGGTGGGGCGGTGGTTCTAAGGCTCCGTATGAAAAAGAGAGGCATGCACTGCCTCTTCTGCTTGTAGCCATGGGCACCCAGCTGATTTCTTTGAAGATAGTTGGAATTTGCATGTACAAATGATGAATGGACACACTGATACAGAAAATGGGCATGTTGCTTAGATGATCTTGTAGGCAGGTCTTCACCAGAGACTTGGAATTTCTAGTTAAGTATGGGCTTTCTGTGTAACCCTGTGCAAATCGCCTGATCCCTCAGTTCCTTGTTCTAAAATGGAATTGATGCTGCTCTGATGCTGTGACATTGCATACCATAGTAAGTCCCTATGTCAGTGCTATGAGAAGATGCTTTGGTGCATAGGACATGGTCCACTCTCTCTTCTATGCCAGGCATTCATGCTGCAAGCTCACTCCAGCTTTTTCTAGATCTGTCTCTGGTTTATTTTGCCATTATGCAATCTGGAATAGGATTGCATTTTGCCACCATGCAGTCCTCTATAGGGTTGCATCCAGTGTGATGCAGGAGGGATCCCCGTCCTGCTTGGGCTTTGCAGGTAAAACCCTGTTATGTACATGTGATGGCTTTATTCATACAGCTTGACAGGCTGACCACAGAGGTGGAGTCAGCTGCCACCTGATGAAGACACAGATGGTTAAAATTTTCAAGAGTAAAATCTGTCCTCACCCTTGTTCCCAGCAAAGTGCTGCCTGTTGGGTAGTTAAGGTGTTCCTCTACCGCATAAGGATGGGTGGTGATGCTTCCTTAAGCAATTGCATCTCCAGACTCAGTGGAGAATAAGTGAGCATTTTTTCCCTCTCTTTCTTCTTTATGTACATGAAATTGTTTTCAAAAGCATTTTATTTTCTTCCCTAGGAGATGACCCATTCCTGGCCTCCTCCTCTTACTGCTATTCACACTCCTGGCAAGGCTGAGCAGACCAAGTTTTCTATCCCAAGCAAGGTACAAGTAGGCTATTACCAGTGACCTGATTAACATTCTGTTCTGTTGAGTGTTCTTTGCTGGAGAGTTTATTTTTGTAATTGGTTCTATTTTCAAAAATTTCTAAGACTATTTTTAGTTGGAAATTCCCAATCAGACTGTTGTTACTATTAGGACTGCTTATTTAAAGCTGCAGAAGTTACAATGGAGGCTAAGTGAACTTTATCTCTGTTGTTATAAGAGTCTTTCTACATCAAGTACAAAGAATTGTATTTGTTTGGGTTTTTTTCCATTATTATTTGTGCAGTGCAATGGCTGAAATGGTCATTCGTTCCTACTTAGTGACTGATTGCGTGATGACATTTAGATTGCATGGTCAAATTATGGTGACTTAAAATATTCCTTCATGTAAACAGTGCTATGGCATCTGTCTGTGTGCACACTCCGAGGGCACACAGAGTTGTGCAATGTGATCCTCAGTATTGGCCTTGTGAAAAGCACACCGCCTGGAGAGTACCTGCAGTTCACCTAACGTGCAGTGAATTGTTAAGCTGTATGATTTGAGCATGCCTTTTGCCCAAATTCTGTTGTTGCCTTCCAGCTATGATTCTGGTAGCACTGCTGGAGATCGAGCTCATACCCAGGGCAGTTATTGCTGGAGGTGTCTTTTGCTGGGACCTGAACAACTGTGAGCTGATGATGGTTGTGGAAGGGGAGAGCTTCCCCAGGGTGGGGAATCTACACCAGTTTGACATGGAGCTAGATAAAAGTTTCTTTCTAAAGGCGGGACCTTGGAAAATAGCTTATAAAACTGGTACTGCTTGACATATGGTTCAAGCAATCATATCCTGGTTTAGAAGCTGGAATGTGATTTTCCTCTTGCTGATTTTATCTGTCTGGCAGATACTCCCCTGTCTGAAATGCAGCCGCCATACTTAATTGGAAATCATATGAGATTAGGAGTATCTGTGGCTCCTTAAAAAAAACAAAGCCAGTGCCCAGAATGCCTTATTTTAATGGAATGTGGTTATTACTGCTCCAGCACTGCCAATGTCACTACAGTTAACTGCTACAGCAGTAAGCATCAGAAGTCATAATCATACAAGAGTATAATCCTCATTGCAAATTGGGTTAAAGTCAGTTGAAACCATTTAGGTGACAGTGGAGTCTGACTTGTGTGAATACAGTGAGCGAGAGTAGAAGTTTTTGCCCGCTGGAAGCTGTATTTTTTTAATTTATACCCTCTCTTAGTTTGGTGCTCTGTTTTTGATGGGCCCTACAGAAACTGGTCTAAGTCCTGCAGACATCCGCTGTCTCCGTTGGCAGCAGTATAAGCATAGGGTCAGAGAAGCTAACATTTTGGTTTGCTTTTCTGTTTCTATTAAGTTTGCTTTGAACTTTTAATATCCACATCAAAGTTAATTTCTGGGCACGTTAAATGTTGATCCTAAAAATCTTGACCATATACAAAATATAGATTAGATTTTATTTTTTTTAAGCTAGCATTTCAGGAAGTAGGCGAGCACATAAATATTTCCAAGTTTGCTTGTTTTACTTGAAAAAATGCAACATAAATGTCTCTTCAGAACATCACATTAAATCAATTATAGCTAGCCAAATTATAGATCTTAGACATAATGTGGCTAGATTGTGCAGCCATATAAACCAGAGACGGGCACTATTAGAAGTTCTCAGTTTAACTATTAAAAAAAAAAAGTATCCTCATGAGAAATGTATATAAAAAAGTGTGATAAAAAAGGCGGAACTTATCAGAACAATTTATCCCTTTGACATTCAAATTTAAAGTGCCATGTTTACTCTTAGGGCATGATTTACTTCACAAGGGACTGACTGACAGCACAGTATAATATTAGGAACTAATAATGCCCTAAGAGGAAGTGCAGTGAGGGCTTTAATGACTTTAACATCCTACAGAACTAACACTTCCAGCAAAGTAGTGCCTGGCTGTAAGATGAGGTTGTAAATAACACCTTAATTTCAAATGATCACACTCTGGAAGGAAAGCTGATTACAATCACTGTGGACTGTAAAGCCTGGAGAAAAACTAAGCAAGAAAACTCTGTGACACGAAGGAAGCAGTTTAGTTATTGTGAGCCAACAAGAATCCCGGCGTTAGCATGCTCAGCGTTACAAGCCAGATTCTTTGCTGGTGTACTGGTTGTTGTACTTCCATTGATTTCATTGGATTTGAACCAGTTTCCATCGGGTCAAGATCAGCTTCCCATGTCTTTATCAAATCCTGTGTGTCACAGTCCAAATAAAAGCAGTGACTATCAATAAAAGCTTACTGTATTTGCAAGCAGCAAGATCAAAAGAAGAAAGGTGGTGGTGCTGAATTTAATGCATAGTTGCATTCATGCTGCGGTCTAAATTGTACATCATAGATGGCTCATATGCACATCCATGGCCAAGCCTGGAAAAGGCTAGGACCACTCACTGCAGGTATAAATCTGTGTGGTGTCTCCATAAAGGGGATATGTAGATTTACAGCAGCTGAGGACAAGCTCTTGTCTGAAATGTGAAAGGGTCCCTCAGTGGTGCTCTGTCTCCACAGTTAATGTTTTTTTAAACTAATGTCACTGGCGCTGCCTGAACAATCACACGATCCCTTCCCTGTACCATCTCCTTCCCTGTTTGTGTAATGCCGGTGCCCTTAATCTGGCAAGCTAAGATATATTTTACCTTCTTCATCTTATTTAACTAATGCTGACATTTTGTGTGTTCTTCTTTGTAGGACTCCCAACATCTGACCTCAGGATACAATGTACAAAGTAGGTCTTTATCATCCTAACAGTCAGGGTTGGGTATTTTTTTTTCCTGCTTAACATCATTAAAACAAAGGCTAAAAAATTAATTTCTCTGGTGCTAAAGCAGATCGGTTCCATTTTTTATTACATGTTATGCATTGTGGCATGTTGTGAAACCAAGTATAATTAGATGGGCTGACAGCTTTGGGTGCATTTTAATTCTACAGTAATCTTTTGACATTTGAAAATGTGTTTCCTTTGTTTGCAGAGTGGAGTGATCCAGCAGGGAAAGTTGCAACTAAGTCAGTGCCACAAAAGTCGTAAGTATTATTATTTCCAGCTTTAAATCTCATTTTAAATTTATCATAAAGAATGAGTTTATTTCTCCAAAGGTAACTAAAACCTAGCTCTGCTCATAATCTTGTCCTGGTGTTCAGGTGTTCTCTGTAGTCCTTAAAAATTAGCCATAAACCAGTTTTATGTTTTCAGGGCTTATTACTGTTTCTTCTTTTTAAGCATTAGCTAACAGAGGTATGTGTGAAGGATGAGTTTATTAAGCAGAAATAATGCTGATTTTAGTTGTACAGCTTGCCAAAATTAAATCACTTTTATGCTTCTCTCATCAGATACTAAGCCTCTTACAATAGAAAATGCAACCCAATGAAGAGATGATGCAGGACTGTTAACATTCATACAGTGAGAGAGAGTAAAACACATCATACGGAGTGATTCTACTAGCTGGTGTTGAAAAGCTGGTCTTGAGTTTCATATGCTTTGAAACAGCTGAAAATCACAGATGATCTATAAATATGACAGTTGAAAATTGTGGGAGAGCTAATTCTCCATTGCGCTAAACCATTTTTCTTTGGTGCTTTTCTGGTGTAAGGCTGCAATCATGTAGCAGTGAGTTAGGACTGAACTGTTCTTTTACTTTTACCCCAGGATCTCAAAGTAATTTACAGACAGGAATTAAATAAGAACTTTGAAAAGTAGGTTGTTGTTTTCATACTTGAAAACACGTGGGTTTGATTTCAGTTCAGATCTGCTTTTTTTTTTTTTTTTAGTGTTCAAGTGTTTTAAACTACTGAATGCAGAACTGCAGTAGCTTAACTGACATTTGTGTAGATACAATGTGTTCATTTAAAATTACTTCAAAATTATTCTAATGTTCCCCTTAATCTGCTAAGGACACAATTTTAAGTAAATCTGTATAGGGGAAGAAAAATCAATGTGGAGATACCTACATAGTTTTTTTAAAAAGAATTTAAATATATTGCTTCTTAGTGCAAGTTTGTGTACAGGAAAGGACTTGTTGGAGTGCAGTGATTTGTCTGTGACCATGTAAGAGATACAAGACTAGACTAGATGCGGGTGCTGAATCCACTAACGTACTCACCAGGCTCTGAAGGTCCAATTCTTTACTCATTAATTCAAGTCATGGAAGTGCTCGTTCCAATACAATTTGTTGAGTAAGGCTTTACAAAATTATGGTTAAACGACTAATTCAATTTTAAAAAGAAATGTTTTTTTCTCCAGATTGAATGAGGATTAGATAGGGATGCTAATGATAAATAGATTAATTTGCATGAATAGCATTTATTTATGAAATTTAGTAACAAATTAGTTTTTGCCCTCTGCTATTTGATTTCCAGTAATGGCTTGGGTTTTTTTAACTACACCCACTGTTCTTAGTAACAGAATGGGTGCAGTCATGTTTCAGAACACCTAAGTGATCCAAACGTAACATCAAGCACATTCTGTAGTAAAAAAAAAAAAAAAGTAAAAAAATATTATTACATCTTAAAATTATTTTTCTCCTAAAGCAAGTGTATTTGGATTCCACTGTGAAAAATATTTTAGTGAGTATACCATAAAATACAATATTTCAATAGTTTGTAACCAACAGTAATAGACTTGTCAATCATGGTTTATAGTTGTAAGCTGAATTTCAAAAGAACAGTACTTCAGAGCTCAGTGGTATATAGTGCATTTAATGGGACCAAAGCTCTCTATAGGAAGCCTGATATAAAACCCGAAGACACTGAGTACATTTTATGAACCAGTTGCTCTCTGTTCTGCTGCTTGATCTAAAGTTCCAGTACTATCAATCAGATTTCTGCTGCAATGAACTGTCTTCTTATGGTAGGTGATAGATTTTACACATGAGAGATCAGAGCTGCAATAAAGCTACTTTTATTTTTAGCTTCCAAATGAAGATCAGCTAACCCATTACTATCACTTTTTCTCTTTTACTGCAGAAAAATTGTTAAGGCAGCTTCTAAGAATTTCCATAGGGCTTTGGGAGGTTAGAAGGCAGTCCACTGTGAGACTTGGTATTACGAGGCCAATTTGTTTCTTTAGATCTGTGTGTGCAGTTACCGCCACTTTCACTGGGAATTGCAGTACTCGAGGACATAATGAAATTAAAGCAGAGAGTGGGGCAGAAAGATGTAATGGTATCAGGTAGAGCTGGATAGAGTGATCCAAATAAACCCTGGTAGATTGACATCTCCTGCAGTCATTGTGTATTTTAATAATATAGTGTTTATCAGATTGCCCTTGTATTAAGAAGGATTTAATCTTTCTAACATTGGTCAGTTTCACGGATATGGGAGTGTATTGAGTGAAATTACAGTCCAGCTTGTCCCCAGTAACATTGGTTGCTACACCGTCAACCACACAGCATGATCTTACTGACTTCAAAACGGCATCCCCCACCAACTCCTTCTATATTTTGTCAATGGGATCTGTCAGCTGTATTTCAGTTTGATCAAATCTGACTGAATTTGGGGCTGTTCGTCTGTATGCTTTGTTAGAAGCCTTTTAAGCTGGACGTGTTTCTAGATATTCCCTGGCTTTTTTAAATTTACGTGCAATTCAAGTGAAACTTAAGTTGTCTCTTCCATTTACATTAGTCCTAGTGACAGTCTTATAGATTCCATTGGCTTTGATAGAAATCCATAGGAACTAGTAGTAATGTGCTTGCATTCACCATATCACTGAGTTATACCATGACTAGTTGAGCCATGGATGCAGAATGAAGATACTTTACCTTCATGATGCTGTATGCTGCTCCAGTAGCCAAACTGCCTGTATGTAGGCACCCTCAGGTGTAGAAACATTGGCATCATAGAAGATCAGACCAAAGGGATGTATGGTCTTTGCAAGATAACCTTTCAGCTGCTTGCTTCTAGGGAGAAGAATGGAGGGGACATACTGCAAGGTAGATTAACTGGCCAATGTCTTGCTTGTAGGGGCATGCAAGATGCATGACTTCTTGTCGAAGTAAAGCTTTCTGAAATATGAATTTCATCCTGTTTATACTATTTCAGTGTACTTTATTACATTCAGGGGCTGGAGAAAGGCAATCCTCAATGCTTTGCAGCAGGTAAAATAGTAGGTAGAGTAGTTGGGATTGTGTCTAAATTCTGCACCTATGTTGTACGTGTACAAGTAACTAACTGCCGATCCTAGTTTCTACTCAAAAATCTTGAAAATGAGATTTTGAACACTGGTGTGTGTGCGTGTGTGTATACCGTGGTGCATTTTTATAGCTGAAATCAGGCTATGTAAAACTACAGCATTCGGCTTCCCTTTTTTTTCATTTTAAATTCACTATAAGTCGCCATTGGGTATGATGCAGTCAGTTTTCAGCCAGTCTGCTCTGATTAGTTTATTATGAAGCATAGTAAGCAGGAACAGATAAGGTGCAACCAATTGCACTGAGAAGGATTTTCTGTCAACTTCCATGAGTTTGAGGGTATGAACTCAGCTCGCGACTTAGGTTTCTGTTATATAATTACCGTTGCAAGTATGTCATCCTCAAACATCCAGTCCTTTTGTTCTGTTTTGGTTGTTAGCATTTGGCCTCTGTCCAGTTGGAAACTACCCAGAACCTTTTTAATCAAGCACATCCTGTGTTTCGAAATCATACTGCAGAGTAGTGTTGGGTAGTTTCCATAAAAGCCTAGCTAAAAAGAAGAATGTAATCATAATGGTATTCTTCCCCTGTCACAAAATTACTTCCTATACTTACTGTATTAATACAGTATTAAAAGGCCCTTCTCACGGGCTCAGTGAACTACCGGAAACCATTAAAAACTTAGAGCAGCAAATTTTTATGGATCAGACAAAACCAACTTATTTTATCTTTATAGAGTTTTTGTTATCCATCATACTTAATGATACGCAACCTGTGTGGGGGCTAGAGAACAACTAAATACAGTGGGCTCAAAAGCAAAACAACCAGCTGAAACTCATTATGTGATATTTCAGCAAGAGTTTTTCAAAGGGGGCTCACCACTGGTTTCAGTGGGACCAGGATTTCACTTCACAGTTCTAAAAAAATGTCAGTAAATACCAGTACTTTTCTAATCCCAAAGATTATCGTAATACTTGATGGAAGCCTGTTTGAAAATGGAAATGTGCTTCTTGACATCTAACTACTTTTCATAAGTATCTAATGGCTTTTTGGAAGTTCTCCACTGTGTCAGGGACAGCCACCTGGGAGCATGGAAAACAAAATTTGGCAGCATGTTCAAGCTATGAATTAAAGGTAATTCACGGTTTGAAATGAATCAGCATGAGGTCCTTATGAAGAGTAATCAGACATCAAGAGGATTTTACACCAAGGATTGTATATTGGATAATGCGACAACAAGTAATGTTGTTAGTCAGAACATTCAAATCAAGAAGCACTGATGAATTCTTAACCTTGGAAGGAATCAGCTTTAAAGAACTGGGATTCGTTCAGTGTTGATGCATCATTTCCAGTTCAATCATGTGAACCAAAAATGTAAAATTCATCTCCAACTGGAATAGGAAGAATGTTTCCATTTATGTATCCAACTCTATGTCTGAGTTCCAGTCACAATCCAGCCCAGGTGTAATACACTGGAAAGGTGACATTTTAGTATTTCTAGTTACGGTTTTTAATTGATCCTATTAAAGTGTAAGAGCATCAATTGATACTACAGTGTTGATAGACTGCTTTCTTTTATAGCATACGTTCATTTTCACTTAGCAAGTGTGGCAAGCTTTAATCATTAGACTAAGTACTGCCTGTTTGTTGAAGTAGGAAGTTCCAAAGATATTCCCTCTGGGTAAACTGGGAAAGTCATGAATAGAAGGGACTTACACTGCCATGTACAAATTATGATAAGTGAAACAACAGTGGCATGTAATTGGAACTCCATTAATCTTTAGAGAGCTCCAGTGCACCATATTAAAGGGACAAATAGCAAATTAAAATAGAAGGGTCTGTTTTGATAAGATATTATTCATCTTCCATATTTACTGTTTTGTTTTGTTAGGTAGGAGT